TCCAGCTCTGACCCTGGCCTGACTATGACCCTGACTCTTGCCTATTGATCCTGGCTCTAGCGATTAATCTGATCCCTGCTTGCTGACTGCCACCTCGTGGGCATCCTTGCCTTGAGGACACCAGCCCAGCCATGACCAATAGGTCAAACCATCTACACCCCATCCCGTACAATCAGGAGTTCAGAAGTTTAAAAGTATCACAATGCAGAGTGTTCGTTTGTTTTTTTTAAAGGTTTTGTGAATAATCACTGACTTGGAATTCAGGGGAGCTGGGTTCGATCCTTGGCCCTGTCATATACTTTCTTTGTAGCTTTCTGTGTTGCTTAATCTTTCCTTGCCTCAGTTCTTCATCTCTAAAGCAGGGAAGTAATGATGCTTCCTTTCCCTAACTCTTTGTCTGTATTTTTCCTATTTAGATTAGAGCAAGGAATGTCTTTATATCTATATCCATAGATATATACAGCACCTAGCACATTAGGGCCCCATTCTCCATTCAGGCTTTGAGTGTTACTGTAACACAAATAATAAAAAGGACTAAGATTTTTGCCTACTATTGCAGCATTGGCAGGTGTGGGAAAAAAACTTCACCTACTTCCTACCACATTTTTAATCAATGGATGAATTACCCTGGGGCTGGGTTTGTTTTTATCTGTGTCTTCAATGAGTAACTTGATCATTTTGTTTGAATATGACAAGAGCTGTTCTTTAAAGTTAGGGATAATTACTATTACCAAAGCACAGCCTTAAGTGGGACGACAGTAACTGTATGCACAGTCACCTACTCAGAGGAGTAGATAATTAGGAATATTTCTTAGCCATAGCCAGATCTACATCATGCACAACAAAGAAAATGGCTTTGTTTTGGGTTTGGTGGGGTGGGATGTGACTGGTAAGATGCGCAGCACTTAGCTGTGGGCAACCATTACTGTAAAAATGGTGCTGAGTTCCTTTGCTAACAGGATTGTTCATAGAAGAAAAAATAATTAGAATGACAGGCTATCACAGGCTTCTTTCTAATAGTAACCCCAGAACTAACTGGGCTTCAAGGGATTATCAGGTTCAAACTCACTGTGATTACCTGAGTAACAACACTGGAGATTACACACTGACCCTGCTGAATTGCACCAGATTGGAATGTTGATATACACTATTCACTATGTGCTGACCTTTCTTCTGAGTTATTGTGGTACACAGCTATGGCAATATGGAGCAGTTTGCTAATTTAATTCCCAGTATTCATTCTAGGTGCTCTGGATCTGATTGTAGAAGCTTGTGTTCATCAGGAGCAAGTGCACTGAAGTCAATGCAGTAAAACCATGTAAAACTGGAGTTAGTGATGAGGTCTTTTACATGTAGGATATGTGCTGTGATGTCAGCATAACTAAAAACCTAATACAGTCAAGAATGCTTTGAAAAACACTAGCAGCCATTGTACATGTTTTAACTAATAATACTTAGAGACATACTATGATGTATTAAAGCTGGAGTAAGTAGCAGCAGCTACGCTGTTAAGGTTTTCTAAGGATATATCTACACTACGAAATTAGATTGATTTTATAGACCTCGATCTTTAGAAATCGATTTTATACAGTTGATTGTGTATGTCCCCACTAAGCGCATTAAGTCGGCGGAGTGCATCCTCAATACCGTGGCTAGCATCAACTCATGGAGTGGTGCACTGTGGGTAGCTGACCATTGGAATTCTGGGTTAAGCTCCCAATGCCTGATGGGGCAAAAACATTGTCACGGGTCATTTTGGGTACATGTCATCAGTCTCCCCTCCCTCCCTCAGTGAAAGCAATGGCAGACAATCGTTTCAAGCCTTTTTTCCTGGGTTACCCATGCAGATGCCATAGCATGGCAAGCATGGAGCCTGCTCAGCTTGCCACTGCTATTGTGAGCATTGTAAACACCTCGCGCATTATCCTAAGAGACGCCAGCACGAGGATGTTGTGAGGAGAACATGGACACAGATGTTCCAGAAAGCACGGGCTGTGGCAGTTGGGACATCATGGTGGCAGTGGGACTGGTTGACACAGTGGAACGCTGATTCTGGGCCCGTCAAACAAGCACAGGCTGGTGGGACCGCATAATGTTGCGGGTATGGGATGATTCACAGTGGCTGTGAAACTTTCGCATGCGTAAGGCCGCTTTCCTTGAACTTTGAGAGTTCTTTCCCCCACTCTGAAGCACAGGAATACCAAGATGAGAGCTGCCCTGACAGTTGAGAAGCGAGTGACGATGGCCCTGTGGAAACTTGCAATGCCTGACAGCTACCGGTCAGTCGGGAATCAATTTAGAGTGGGCAAATCTACTGTGGGGACTGCTGTGATCCAAGTAGTCAATGCAGTCACTGATGTTCTCTTATCAAGGGTAGTGACTCTGGGAAATGTGCAGGTCACACTGGATGGCTTTGCTGCATTGGGGTTCCCTAACTGTGGTGGGACAATAGACGGAACGCATATCCCTATCTTGGCACCGGACCTCCTTGCCAGCCAGTACGTAAACCACAAGGGGTACTTCTCAATGGTGCTGCAAGCAGTGGTGGATCACAAGGGACGTTTCACCAACATCAACGTGGGATGGCACTCACATCTTTAGGAACTCAAGGCTGTTCGAGCAGCTGCAAGAACGGACTTACTTCCCAGACCAGAAAGTTACCGTTGGGGATGTTGAAATGCCAATAGTTATCCTTGGGGACCCAGCCTATGCCTTGCTCCCATGACTTATGAAGCTATACACAGACAGCCTGGATAGTAGTAAGGGGCAGTTCAACAATAGGCTGAGCAAGTGCAGAATGGTGGTAGAATGTGCATTTGGACGTTTAAAGGCTCGCTGGCACTGTTTGCTGACTAGGTTAGAGCTCAGCGCAACCAACATTCCCATTGTTATTGCTGCTTGCTGTGTGTGCCATAATATCTGTGAGAGTAAGGGAGAGATGTTTACGGCGGGGTGGGAGGTTGGGGCAAACCTCCTGGTGGCCGATTTTGAGCAGCCAGGCACCAGTGAGATTAGAAGAGCACAGCTAGGCGTGCTGCGCATCAGAGAGGCTTTGAAAACCAGTTTCATAACTGGCCAGGCTACGGTGTGACAGTTGTGTGTGTTTCTCCTTGCTGAAAATCCACCCCCTTTGTTGATTTTAATTCCCTGTAAGCCAACCATCCTTCCCCCTTTGATCACTGTTGATGATGCAGTTAGTTTGTCACACCCTTAACATAATTCAAACAGATTTTGGCCTGATGTTTTCTGTGATTATTATTTTATAGGTGACTCTCTCTGGTAGGATACCCATCTATCTATAAGCAAAGTCATGCATACTCTGTGGCAAGCTGAACCTAAATTCTGCAGCAAAATTCCTAAACCTTGTGGCAACTTCATTTAAATGTACCACAGAGGCTTTTAATAAATTAAATATGAAATTGAATATTACACTCAGTACAGTAGCCCCTGTGCTATATATTTTGATAGTAAATTCTGTGTATTTAACTCAGTCCCACATTTTCAGTTTTTTATGCTGAAGATTTTTACACTGACCCTGCAGAACTGCATTGCAAAAGTTTTCATTGGGAAGCTTGAGTTTTGGCAGCTGGATAAGGGGCAGTTGAGACATCTGGTAGCTGAAGAAATGTAGAAATATGAGGCAGTCTGGCACTGTGGTCAAGCATATTAGCTGGATGTTTCTGCTAAAGGTTCAGCAATGAAAGCATTAGTGCAGTCATTTCAAATTGTCATCCTTTGGTTTCAGAGTTAGCACCCTATTGAGATGAATGGGGCATTTAGCTCCTTTCAAAACTCTTTTTTTGGGCTGCCTGTAGACTCAGCAGATGACAATGCACTGTTCAGGTTTTCAAGCTTTGCGTTGCAACGAAAATGGCTAGAAACATAATTTTATTTTTAAATAAAAGTTGGGACTCTAGAGCACAAATCTGCAGCAAGGGGGAAAATACACAGCAAATTCTTCAGCCATGGAACGTAGGGGAGCCTGCCTACAGGTTACCCATGTACATAGAGGTTACACATAGCTGATTCCTTCATCTAAAGATTCACAGGAAACTTCAGAATGGTGGAAACATTTCATATTCACCAATTCCTATTCCCTGCCAGGGCAGGATTACTCCATACTGTTTTTCTGTTTAGTTTTTTCTCCATTCCAGTTTTAAATGTACCAAATACTGGAGCGGCTGATACTTCCCCATGTTGATTATTCCACAGTCTAATCTGTTGCTTTTCCTGAGATTCAACCTATTATTTCAGCTCAGATGGATGATCTTTATTTTTCATTTGGGTAAGCAGAACTCTGGATTCTTCAGCTGTTCCATTTCAGGGTGTGATCTTGTCGGGTCTCCATGAGCTAAGCACCACCAGGCTTTGCCTCTGCACAGATGGGAGGCTCTGTCAGTGTAAACCCAGAATATAAAACCTCAAAGTGTAAAGAGCACATCAGGGAGGGGTCTGATTTCAGCATGGGGCGCTCTTTCCTGGGATCTGGTTCTGAACATATGCCCCAGTATGGTGTCTGGGTTACTGGACTGTTGATGGTCTGACTCTTGGAAAGCCAAGGCCTTGGCCTCTTGTTGTCATTAAAAGTCCCGTGGTATTTTCGAATAGGAGTGTTAGCTCCTGTGTGCTAGCTAAATCCTAATTAGGTAAATACTCTCTCACTGTCTAATTCCTCCTTTGAATGAATATGGCATTCTTCATTTCCTGAACTGTTGTTCTTTGCAGAGTTTAAAAGCTGCCAGGTTCCACCCCAGAGAAGGCTGCATTTTGGTGTTAAGAGGTGTGCTCCAGGTATATTATGACCTCTTCCAAGGGTTGTGATGGTGTATGCTCATTATTCAAACTAAGCTCTTTGACATTCAGTATTTGTCTCCACAAGCCTCACACATCTACAACTAACCCAAGAGCATTGGATCTGATGCAGTACCTGCCCCCAGAAACTGTGTTTAATACTAAAGACTGGCACTACATAAAAGCTGACCTGTGATTTCTTGTTGCAGGCTGGCAGTCCAACCTCCATTTCGGCTCCTCATAGCTTCTCTCGGACTTCTGTTACACCATCCAATCAGGACATCTGCAGGTAACATACATTGTTTGTAGAGCTGCCGTAGGGCCTGTACAAAGACCAGTTTATGAAAAAATCATGTACACCAGGAAGTAAGCGATCTAGGGCTCCAATTCTAAATGTCCCATTCGTTTCTCTCAAATACTGTCTAGTGCTGCTCCATGGGATCCACTTACTGTTTGCTTGCTGTGTTTACCATCCCCACACTAGCCATAATTCTTGTTTCTTCACTTTGATTATACGTGTTCTCTTGTATAATTGTTTTTACTTTCTGTGCTTTTATTCCACTGTTCTGCATGCAGTTCCAGTGCAGTGTTTTCTGAATGTTGTCATCACAGTCCAGTGCAGTCTGCTGTTGTCTTGAAAAATCCTCACTGCCAGAATTCTCTGACACAAGGGGTCACAGTGACAATACTCTGTCAGGACACATTACAGGCATCAAAGAGAAACTCCCATGGGCAGGATTGGGTCCATGTGCTCGAGTCTGCTAAAAATGCAAAAGCCACCCGAGCTCTTAAATTCTCCAAGTCCCTCAACGACATGGACCAGAAGTCACAGAGCACCATGGAGGGCTCTAAGTATGGGGAGCGAACATGCTCTGAAAGCAAACTGACCCCGCCACAGGAGCAGTGTTTAAGGATTAACAGATTTAATCAGAAAGAGAAGAAATCGCTCAATCTCAGGCCTTCTTTTAGCAATTCTAAGCACTCCTACATGCCATCTCTTTCCACCACCTACGTGAGCGCTTCGGGAGTAGCCAAGAACCACTGTGCGGTGCATATACCTCTCCTGGAGGACAAGGTGGACAATGAGACATCATCAAGAAGCAAAAATCTGCTGCACTACCTCTTCTCCTTCTCCCACAGCTCAAGTGCCAGCAGCCTGCATAAGTTCCATGAACTAGAGAGCTATCCGAGCCACTTCCAAACTGCAAAGTCCTCCAGCATGCTGGTGGAAAGCCCTGGCTTCTGCTCTGATGACATGGGGGACGACGACGTATTTGAGGACAGTGCCTCCGTGAGGTTGAAAGGAAAAGAGCTGCGGGCACCACTCTGTTCAGTTGAGAAAGACAGTGACCTAGACTGCCCTTCTCCCCTGTCAGAAAAATTCCCCCCTCTTTCCCCTCTGTCCACGTCGGGGGATGCCTGCAGGTTGGTTTACAGAGAACACCTTCCTCTGCCCCCTCCCATACTCGGCGGTGATCTGCTCTGCTTTCTCTGCCTTTGTGTTCTCTCACCTTGCTTTAATATGTGCAGTTTGAGGCCTGCTGCTTTTCCGATGCTTTATTAGTCCGCTGAGTGGAAGCTTCCCTTTGAGTCAATCGATTCTTTGCAACCCAAAGTAATTTGTTTCACAGCTCCGCGTTCCGAGGTGGTTTTATTGGTGCCAAACCCAGGAATATCTGAGAGAATCAGCTACACATATTAAAGGCCAAGCTGAACTTTCTTAGCTTAAAGAGCAATGTGCTTTGCTGACGGTCATTGGAAAATGGGCCATTTAAGCGTCGCTTCCCAGATTTGATCAACTTATATATGATTCTTTTGTAAAGCTTTTCTGTTCATTTCCATGTATCTGTTCATAAAGGGCCTCAGGTGAAAAGTGTAATTCAAGGGCTCGGTGTTAGTGATGAGCCAGAACGTGGCCCTGATGCATGTCCATCGAGTGGGGTAAAACAAGTGAGGTGTGGTCTGGATGGACAGTACAGCTGCAGAATCTTAACCAGATCCAGAAGATATAAAGCCCCATCAGAGGCAGCTACCTAGCTCTGCCCCCTCATCCGGGTGCGGAGTCTGTCACTCTGCCTCAGCCTGCTTTTGGGTAGGCACTCAGTATAGTGAGAATTGGCACAGCCCCCGTTCTCATACCAACCGCCCGCTCCAACTCCTCTCTCCTCCCCTACAACAGACCCAAGCCCTGCAAAGGCTCATAATGGACCCCCTGCTTCCTGACTCCTTCCCTGTTACCACCTGCCTCCCCAGTGCTACTCACCCCGCCCCCTTGTTCAGCACAATCCACCTCCTTGCTGGTTCTCTTCCCTGGGCCCCAGTGATACTTGCCAGCTCACTCACCTTCACCACCTGGCTCCTCATCCAGCAGTCAGGGTGCGAACTAGCAGCTGGATCACAGGAACTCAGCAAGGGATTTCAACAGTGGGTAGGCGGGATGATCCAGAAGATACTGGCCCCATCCTCATTGGCCCTCTGCATTCGTGCCCCCAGTGTTATTCTTCACAAAGTTTTTAAAACAACTTCATAGGAAACTAATTATCAGTCTGCTGGCTTGGCAATATGCAGAACCAAGTGTCTCTGTTAACTGGAGCTTGAAGTGGAATTGGAACTGCAGTACTTTGGGGTGGCAACAAATTGGGAGAGGTGCCTGCTAGGTTAATCAGTAGGGAATATGGGGAACCTTACTGTAACTGTCATTGGCAGCCATTACAAAGTGAATGAGTAGAGATGGGGCAGAAGATCTAAACATTCCCAACTTTGGCAAGAGTCAGACTGGAGCTTTGCAGCCTGAGTCCGAGGAAAGGGGTAGCTCAGTGGTTTGAGCATTGGCCTACTAAACCCAGGGTTGTGAGTTCAATCTTTGAGGGGGCCATTTAGGGATCAGGGGCAAAAATTGGGGTTTGGTCCTGCTTTGGGCAGGGAGTTGGATTAGATGACCTCCTGAGGTCTCTTCCAACCCTGATATTCTATGATTCTATCTCTTGGTAACTTTTACTAGGAATAATCCTTCCCAGAAGGCAGCCCTTCATGTTCTTGTGGAGTTTGTGTGTGTGGTGGTGGTTTTGTTTTTGTTTTTAATTGCAAATCACAGTTAGGTTTACACCTCTGTGAGCATGTTCTACCATGGGAAGTGTCCATACTGCTTAAATGCCACTCTCAGTAAAGTACTATTGTTCTGGTAGACAAGATGATGTGCTGTAATTTCTTACGTGTTCTTTCTCTTTTCATGACCAAATCTCTTTCAGATCTTGTGTGTCTGCCTGGTGAGCTAGAGAGAAGTTGTGTAGTTAGCAGTGTTTGTGCTCAGTTATTGTGTGTCATATTTTATTTCATTTGTTGGTTTTGCTTATTGATAAATTTCTTTGTTTGAACTGTATGTCGTTTGGGATCTGCACCGGTTAACCGTGTGTGATCACAAATCTTAAAAGCCTCCTCTACTTCATTTTGGTTTTCCCCGTCTCTGCTGTTGCCTCCTAATGAGCTGCTTTGCTCCTGATTCAGGATATGTCACTGTGAAGGAGATGACGAGAGCCCCTTGATTACCCCCTGTCACTGCACAGGAAGTCTTCATTTTGTGCACCAAGCTTGCCTGCAGCAGTGGATCAAGAGCTCAGACACCCGATGTTGTGAACTCTGCAAGTATGAGTTCATCATGGAGACCAAATTAAAGCCCCTACGAAAGGTAGGTCCAAGGGCTGGTTCCAAAGAAATAGTTTGCCTTATAAAAGTGTGGCACTGCTCGGAAAAGTGACTCTTTTTTTTTAAACATGGCACAACGGGACGCCATGCTTATCATCCCTTTGTGATTCCATATCCAGTCTGCTCAATTTTATAAATCTGTATTTTCTACATGAAAATGCAAACTGGGATCTGAGAGTGAAGCTGTATTTTTTCTGGTTTCATGCATCACCAATAATAAAGAATCTGCTGTCAGAACTTAATTGACAGTCCTGTTGATGCTGCCCAAGCCAGAAAAGAATCCATTTTCCTCTCCAGTGGCTGGGTTGGCTCCGCAGGGCTAACAGAAGTAAAAAGGAGGAAACATTTATTGTAGTCAGCAGCTGTAACTCTGAAAGTACACCAGGAGCTGATCTGTATTGTTAGGACTTACCATTTCTACAGTCACCTTTCAGAGCTGAGGCCCACTCTAAAGCACAGAATTTGCTGTACTGTTACCCATATGGTTTATGAATTTTCTTGAAAATGTGGGAATTTTAGGCTCTGTATTTTTCATATTTATTTGTAAAATGATTCCATTAAAGTCTTCAGTTATGTAAAAAATAATAATGTAGCAAACGATTTTTTTAAAGCCAAAATCTTATTTATGGTGCAATGAAATTCACCCAGAAACACGTTTTTGTTTCTTTTTTTTTGCACTGAACATACATAGTAACATTTTACTACTTTGACTTGCCAGAACCAACAGCTGTTATTTAACACCTTCTGCCATCTATACACCCACTGACTTACCTTACAGATCCTGAAGAACACAAGGATCTGTCCATTGTTGTATCTGGTATCCATTTTCCTATCCCAAATACCTCTGTCTTTCAAAGGCAGTTGATGCTCACCACCTGGATTTCTGGACAGGAACCACTAATATTCTTAGCACTGGCAAATCGTGCTGTGCCTGCCCATGTTTGAGGTTAATAAAAGAAACCTCCATCTGGGACAAGAAGTAAAAAAAGATTAAAATCAAGCAGAGGATCCTGAATCACTAGCATGGGGAGTCCAAAATGTAACCATCCAAGGGCTGTAATGGTAGTTGGCCAGGATCCCAAAGCCACTAGTAATCTGCAGAAAATGGAGCAGATTTCAGCCACCTTCATCTTTAATACAGACATGCAGTCTGCAAAATATATAGGTCAGGACATGATGCTGTTCTGAACAGAGACCTCTTGGATCACGATGGAGACCTGCATTTTGGGACCTGTCGTTTCTGCCTGCTGCGCCTCCTTATTATGGAGGAAGTTAGCTGTGAGCTGCACTGTAGAACATCCTGGGCACCACTGGGCCTGCAGGTCATGCTTTAGCCATCCCTGATATTGGACCCCAAAGAGAAGACCAAAAAAAAAAGGGGGGGGGGGCTTGGATAAAAACACAGTAGTCTAAATTAACGAATTGGCTAGTGCTTTGGGGCATCTCGATTTTTTTGGGTGTCAAATTTGGAACACCTTGAGTGGATGCTCAGCATTTTCTAAAAATCTGGTCCCTGTGAGGCATACCACATGGGGCACCCAAAAATGGAGGCATACAAAATCCACTCATCATTTCTGAAAATTTAATCTATTATGAAGAAACCAGTTGCCCAAAATAATAGGGACAGAACCATAAACGGGGGATGGGGAGGAGGGAACACAAACAAAAAAAATGGAATTAGCCCTTAAAAACAGAAGCTCAGTATTCCTGAGTCAAACTGCAGTCAAGTTGACACCTCATCCTCAACTCCTCCTGTATGGTCTCCTGTCAATCAGGAGAAAATAACCTGTAGCTGGACTGTGAATAAGAGAAGGCCAAAACATAGGCTTGGTGCTTGCCAGTAGCATAAGAACCAAACTGAACATTCCAGGTTTAATTTCAAGTCCCAGTGGAGTTAAAGCAGTCATGAATTGGGTCTGTAAAGCAGACAGTCCGAGATTTCTGAGAGAGCTAGGAAATAACAACCCAGCTTACGAAGTAGAGCTTGTCAAAAAATGGGAGTTTTTTCCATGGAAAATTTTTATGAAAATGAAATAAAAAATCATTTTCATCTAAGTTTTCCACAGGAAAAAAATGATTTTTGGTGGAATTTGGAAACGGAAATATTTTGGTCAAACACAAAAATAGTTTGATTTGGAAATGCTGCCACGGTGCCTCATGGAAGTTGTGGTTGGGAAGCCTCAAACTCCTTTTTCTCTTCTGTAGCCTGTGCTTCCTGGTTGGACTGCATCTCCCATGATGCACCATGGTCTCCCGCTCTTGGAGGGGAGAGGTAGGGCACCATGGGAGTCCCTGACCACAATGGAGCATGGAAGATGAGGTCCCTCAGGGGAGCTCAACCTATAGAGAAAAAGGGGAACATAAGGCAACCAAACTGTAAATTTAACACCATTAATTTGGGCTTGAATAGGGACTAGGAGTGGCTGGCTCACTACAAAAGCAGCTTTGCCTCTCCTGGAATTGACTCCTCCTCATCAGTTATTGGGAGTGGACTACATCCACTCTGATTGAATTGGCCCTGTCAACACTGGTTCTCCACTTGTGAGGTAACTCCCTTCGCTTCATGTGTGAGTATAATCATGCCTGCATCTATTTTCACTCCATGCATCTGAAGAAGTGGTTTTTTTACCCACGAAAGCTTATGCCCAAATAAATCTGTTAGTCTTTAAGGTGCCACCGGACTCCTTGTTGTTTTTACAACTCCTATGAGACTTCATGGCAGCATTTACAAATTAAAATATTTCCAGTTTTGGGTGAAATATTTTAGCTTTCAGATGTTTGGGGTATTTGACAAAACATCAACATTTTCTGCAGAAAGCAGACATTTTTTGTGAAAAATTTCATTTGGTCAAAAACCTAATTTTCCTCCTTAAAGCAGTTTCAGTGGAAAACGTTTGAAACAAGAAGAATGTAACGTTCCAACATGGTAAAAATTAGAACCTGACTTTCAGAGATGCTCAGTACATGGACAACAAGGAGTCCGGTGGCACCTTAAAGACTAACAGATTTATTTGAGCATAAGCTTTCATGGGTAAAAACCTCACTTCTTCAGATGCATGGAGTGAAAGTTTGAGTACATGGAGGCTCCCTCTGCCGTTTGAGATCAGAATGCCTAGCAGACCTGAAGATCAAACCCTGACTCGTCAAAAGGAATCTCCTATTGGAAGTACTCATAGACGACCAAATTCTCCACTCACTTATATGGAGCAGGCTCCATTCCTGTGTGTCCTGTGGAAGATGGGTTATTGGTTCCACTTCTTAGATGCATCAGGTTTATGGGTTTTCCTTACTGAATTCATACTGCATTACTCTTCCTTTTCTAAAAAAAGCTCTGTAGGCCAAATTCATCCATGCATTGTCAAATTCAACCCAGTGGACTTGCATAGCTGTAACGAAGAAGAGACCGTGGCTCACAGTGTACATAGAGAAGGTGTGAAAAGGGTTTGTCCAGTGTGAATATGAGACTGAAATTCCTGACCCATTCTCAAATGCATCAAAAATAAAAGCCTTTTTCGAGTGATTGTCAGTAGTTGGTAAAGGTCTGTAAAATTGTCTAATTTTTCTGCATCCTTCCTACTTAGTAATGGCCAAAACATTGTGGTTTCTAATGGGACTATAACAGAATCATTGATGGCTCGGTATTCGGCATAAATCTGGGCATTTCAGATGGTACTTCATCTCATTGTCTCTTCTAGTTATTCAGAGGGGAAATGTGGTTCCGCATTAATGCACTTGAATATAAAACATCGGTAGCAACTTCCATTGTTTGATCACACACACTGAATACCTAGACCTAAAAGTATCAGTTCCCACTGCTTGAACTAAAGTCTGGCTATACACCTGGGGGCTGTAACAGACTCCCATCCTCTCTGGGTTGGGTACAGAGACGGGCATGTAACACACACTGACCAGTGGCTTGCCCATTCATTCTATAATAGCGTTTTTATATTAGTGGTGCCAAAACTTTCAGAGCAACTTCCATTTTGCCAGGCGTACCTGCTGGTTCTCCCCACCTCTCATTCAGCCATAGAGTGTTGGGCACTCTTAATAGGCAGTGTTGCTTAGGCTGTACAAAACTGGGGTTTGAATCAGCCCGAGCCCAGCTGCACCACTGGAGTGTGTACAAGTAAGTAAGGCATGAGCAGCAGTGCACCGAGGCCTAGCACGGAGATTTATTGTTAAGACCTGCTCCTGCTCCCACTGAAGTCATGGGAGTAAAATTGGGGCCAAAAGTCACAAGGGAGAATCGGGAGTGCCAGTCACTGCTGCTTGAACTTGCACCCTGGTATATGGACTAGTGGGTTGAGGGAACTACCTGACATAATGACTTCTAAAAAGAAATGCTTCTGTGTGCTGTGAGGAAAGCAGCCTCTGCCTGTCAGGTGTGTTCACTAGTGTTCCTTTCATCTGCTGCTCTCGCTTCCACAAACCTCTAACCCCTTGCTCTGCCTTCTGGATTTCTTGCTAGTGGGAGAAGTTGCAGATGACGGCCAGTGAGAGGAGGAAGATCATGTGCTCTGTAACATTCCATATCATTGCCATCACCTGCGTCGTGTGGTCTCTGTATGTCCTTATAGACAGGACTGCTGAAGAGATTAAACAGGGACAGACTACTGGTATGTTACTTTATTTTGTTTCTTATTTAAGTGACTCTGAATGCAAAGAGACAGATCTGTTGAGCAAGATGATGTCTTTTTCAAATGTTCAGATCTCCAGCTTCAGTCATTAAAATAAGGCCTGAAGTTGCACCATTTTAACTAAAGGTGTGATTTAAAACCAAGTTAGTTAAACTAATGCAACTTTGTGTGTGGACATTCTGAAATCAATTTAAACCTGGCTTATCAGTTTAGTTTGCACCAGTAAAATGTATAGCTGTGAGCTAATCCAGTCTAACCAGTTTTAAACCAATATAAGTTTTCACACACAAAGTTGCACTGCTTCGACTAAATCTGTTTTTAAACTGGTACAAATCCTCTGTGTAGACAAGGCTTAAGTGTTTCCTGCTTTTTATTCCTCGTAGCCTTGGAGAGCTAGCACAGCTAAAAAGAGAGGGAGCTGGATTCAGCTTCTCCTTTTTCATCAATAAGAGAATTGTGTATTAAAGTCCAGTCAGTTACATGATGGGTTGACACAGTTGTCACTAAGGACAGAATTTGTCCTGCTGAAATTTCATTCCTGGTGGTGATGCATGAACCACAAAGAACCCAGCCTGATTCTTAGATCCGAGGTTGCATTTTAAGGGCTAGCAGTTAAAAATAAAACAAAAAAATATAACCCATGTTTTTACTTGTAAGCAAAGCACATTTGCTGTGGAAATAATTGAGCGTCAATAAACCTGGAAGCCCACAGTCCTTTTTACACAGTCTCTTTTCAGAGTGCAGCCATGCTTCAAAATATACATTTTCATGACTTGCTGTCATTTTTCATTTTCAGTTGTAGTTTGATTGTACTTGATTTTTGTTCGGCAAAGAGTCTGCTTTGAATGAAAGCATCTGGTCTCTTTTCCATCTGACAGCATCATCTATGCGCATAGCCTTTTCATGCAAGGGATCAATATGCTTATGAAAGGCATATGCTTTCAAACATTTATAGCCTTCAGGTCATTTTAGATAAATATTGTAGATGAGCATAAATAGGAATAGTATGAATATTTAGTACTTGATACTGTGCTCCGTTTCAGAATTCAAATGAAATGAGCAATCTGATGATTTCTACAGTAAGCTGGCTAGTGCATGTGTGTGGGCGTTCACGCACCACTGCCTCTGTTGGACAGAATCAAAACTGCTCAGCTGCGTGGCGTAGGTCCCACACTGCTAACAGCTAATGGGGTTGCATTTGTAACCAAGTAGCAGGGTCCTGTGCTTTTCAAGCAAGAGCATCTGAGTTCTACCCCTGCCACTGCTGAGCAGTTCCAAATGGTCATGTGTGTGCAGCACAGTGACAGATGTGGCGTCTGAGGAGGTCATGGATTTGTTACAGTATTGCCGATTCTCTATGGAATTTGAAAATGGATGGATGAGCATGATGTCATGGCCTTTCCTGCAATGCCCCGACCAGCCAGTAGTGGAGAGGTTTGATATGTATAGTACCTATGCTGGAGAAGGTATGCAATACTAATGGTCTCTAAATCCAGCAGACAAAGCTATAACAAGATCCACTGCCCAGACATTCAATAGGGACGAATTCAAACTAAAATAATACTGCACGTTTGTAACAGCGAGGGATGTGGTAAATTCTCCACCATGTACATCAAGATTGGGTGCGTCTTTCTAAAAGAGATGCTGCAGTTCCACTCCAAGTTATTGGGCTGGATGTGGGGACTACTAGGTGAAGCTGTCTGGCCTGTGCTAGGCCCGAGGTCTGACTAGATGCTCCCTTTCAGCCTCAAAGCCTGTGAATCTGTATGTGGTGTGGTCATCGAGTGGGCAGGAAGAGGTATAAAGGAGACTGAACTGTTCGCGAGCTGCTAGTTATACCCTGTAGGGAGCAGTACTCCCAGTGGGTTGTACACAGAGTAAATCAGGGGCGTTGGGTGTGAACAGACCTGTTAACTGGAATTGACAGGCTTTCAAAAACGAGAACATAACTGTTGGCATAACAAGAACTATATGCATTAAACGAATCCTGTGACAGAAAATGGTGTACTCGTAAAGAGAACTGCCTATCACGCTTGCACCCTGTGGACTTTGAGAATCGGACTATCTGCTGCTCAAGTCCGGGACCTGACTTACCTCTTCTGTAAAGTGCCCTGTACATGTATGGCATCTTATCAATAATAATAAAGGAACCCAGGAGTGATCACATCAGTTTGCTCTTTTACAGTACTGCTAAGGATTTTAACCCAAATCCCCTATCAAATTTGAAGGGGGGGGGGGTTGCATTTGAGATTCTGATTGTGACCTATTCTGTGTCTCTCATTTAAAGGATATTGTGCAGCCTAACAAATATTAATGTGGTCCTTTCCTTTCCTCCAGGGATTCTAGAGTGGCCATTTTGGACTAAGCTGGTAGTTGTGGCTATTGGCTTCACTGGAGGACTCCTGTTCATGTACGTACAGTGCAAAGTATATGTACAACTGTGGAAGAGACTTAAGGCTTATAACCGAGTAATATATGTACAGAACTGCCCGGAAACTAGCAAAAAGAGTATCTTTGAAAAACCTGCATTAATGGAGCCAAATGTTGAAAATAAAGAAATGCTTGGGATCCACCATTCGGATACAAACTCTTCACATTACATGGAGCCTGAAGACTGTGGTGCAGAAATCCTTCATGTCTGATCTTTGGGGGCTGGGGAAGGGTGGGGGCTCTGTATGTTCCTGAAGGTCTAAAGCATCATTGTTTACTGCAAACTGCTCTACCTTTTTAAAATCAGCTAACAGCCTAGCGCTGACGGATTACATTTTTTTAACGTTTTTTTGTCCCCCTGACATATCTGTCAGTATGTTATCATGGTTCCATACCTCTCGATGTTTCATCTCTCAGACTGGCCTGTACAAAGAGACATGGGAGGCTTCACTGGATGAGGCAAGGCGTCAGAGTATGGCAAGTCCGGTGTGAACCATCATCAGCTTCGTGGAGTTTGCTTCTTTTTAAAAGACAGCTCGCTCTAAACTATCCCAGAATGCATGTGGGGTAATTTAAGCCTTGATGAGAAGATGGCTTCGGACACTGAGGAACAGCTGAGAGAGAGGAATGAGAGACCTAGAAACTAATCTACCGCTAACACTGCCACTAACATTTCTCATAGGCAGCGGCGATAAGATTATGCTTTACATATTGCGATAAAGGACCCACAAAGCATATAGCACTTTTTAAAGTCTTTATTTTGTAATATATGTGTCCAATGAGAATTAAACTTGAAAGAATGTCTCATTTCAAAATACCCCTTTTTAATACTCTCTCTTGCTCCGCTTCCATCCTATTAGGTCCTAAACCTCTTGCCTTACAAAAATCTAATGTGGTTTCCAACGCATACCCACAGCATAACACTAAAAACTCTGCTTCTTGGGGGTTTCTCTCGGGAGCAAATTTTTCAAAGAATATTGCACTTGTGACTTGTAAATGGAGAGTAGTGGGTGTAAAATGTTTGTTTTAATATGTAATGGTTTCAGTGTTCTGTTTTGGGGGTGGTTGTTGTTTTTGTTTGTTTTAAATCAACTACATAGTTGATAGACCTGCAGATATCCCTGATGTAACTGTCATTCCAGGCACTGGCAAAGGGGCTTAGACACTGTATTGGTAAAATGTGAGCTCTTTAGAAAAAAAAAAATACAGCTGAAAATGGTTTGCCTTCTTTAATGCTGTGTTCTGTGTGAATCACCCAAGAATCTGACAACACGAAGAAGGGGTGTTGAAAACAACTAATAAGGAGTAAATATTGCATAGGGTCTCCTGTCTCTCCATAGCTGAGGTTGAAACCACCTTCCTGTTTTAGCCCAAATTTTGATATATTCCCTGGTCGGAGTGATTTTGATTTGTTTGTGTTAAACTTGTGAATGGCTGACCGTATGAACGGTTTGATGGGAAGAGGAACATGTATGGAGTCAGGGTGAGGAGTGCTGGGTAGAGTTGTCCAAATGTTTAAAAGTACATGAGTTTTCTTAGGGAATCATTCTTTCAACTAGAGTAAGGTGAAGGTTGTCTCAATCCCAGACCTCATTAAACCAGACCATAGTGTCAGCATCACTGAAATGGAAAAGTCATAATTAAAAGGTATTGCACAAGGTTCCTAGTTTTAAGAGCTGACTTGCTCCATTCGGGTCCAATTCAACTCCCAATAAAGTCAATGGGAATCTTTTTATTGACAGTAATGGGAGTTGCACTGGGCCTCTTAGTTCATTAGGAAGTCTGTTTATCTGTTGGAATATTTGACCAAATCCCAAGGTCTTTATCCAGGGTTTACTCAATCCTTTCTCAGGCAGACTCCCACTGAGCAAGGGTTTGGCCCAGTGAAAATAGTTGGACACTGGAAGGGAAGAACTGCAGATCAGTGAAATTTCCCTAAAAACGTGACAATAATTTCTGTCTTGATCTTTTTGATAAAAATCTGTGGATTTTTTTTTGAGGCAAAGGAGGGAGGATGCTAAGAGGACATCAACCAGTGGTTTCTAAAGCCTTTGTATGTGTGTGTGTGCGCACGCACATTCATTTTTTTTTTTCCCCAAGATTACTGGCCTTGGTCTTTGTTAATAACATGTACCCTGGTTTTGGGATGCTTTAAAACATTGCGGGCCTCTGGACAATCTATCAAGCTGCACTGGTATAGACTTGTTGCTGTGGTGGGAGCCATGACATTCCATGCTCAGCCAGTATAGGGCAGGCGAGAACCCTCCCTTCTACCATCTAGGCAGTCCTCATCTTCCCTTACATGCAGTCTGTTGCCTATGTCTGCTGCATTCTAAAGTGCAATTATCTGGGCCCCTTTCTGAGCGCCCTTCTTCCCAGCATCCTGGCATTGACCATGGTCTGTTCACTAGAACCCAGATCACGTGGTATTTTTTATGTTAGGTGAACAGGTTAAGCAAATCAACTCAGGTGGGTTAAATACCAGGTCTTACATGTCTTCATCAAATTCTTATTCAATTTTCATGCATGCAAGGCTGCAAGGATTAAAA